TTAATGGCTTAAAAGCTTCCAATAGTACAAATGTAAAACGTAAAGTTTTAATTTTACTCTAATAACATTAGTTATTTGAGTGTTTTAGCGCGTTTTGGAATCGAAAACTTCAAAAAATCAAAAAGCTGCAAAAAAGTTGAAAAAAACTCGATATTTTTCGTTTTTTTTTGTCATTTCTCAACAAAAATAGTTTTTCATTTTACTTATTTTACTATGACTGTCGAATATGCCTAGAGTCTACTTTTTTGTCCAGATCCTTTTATCACGCCACGCCGAAGATACGACACTATATTGAAAAAAATGTGTTGTTTTTTTAAGACTATAGTCGGAACATTCGGTGCTACTTGCACAGTAACCAACTATCCTTGTTTTATTTTGCATTGTCGTGAAGTTTTTCTTTCAAAACTGCTGTAACACTTTCAGCGTGTATGTGCCTCATTAGCTGCACTCGCATAAGAATTTTTGGCAGGTGACAGTTCAACTTGATTTGGAATTGTGTTATGCTTTCGTTCAGTAATTTTGGCATTAGAATTTGATGTATTCGTTAGTAGGTAGATACGGGGCATGGATCACTTGATCCTCTGTATGAGCCACGCACCCTTAAGGCTAGAGCAGCTGCCTTATTCGCCATACTAATGAGCATTACTATGTTACATCAGGGGCGGTCTAGGATTATCTCGAGTGGGGGGCCGATTTTCAAAAAAAAAAATTCGAAGTTTTTTTTAAATTCGCCCCCCTCGAAAAAATTCTAGATCCGCCCCTGATGTAACTTAGTAATTCTCATTTTTGTTCATCTTTAGATTTTCCGAGTTCTCCCAAAGCACTACAAAGACCCTGTTTTGGCCAAAATTTCTTCGCGACAAAAATTTGGAAAAACAGTCCAAAAAAGGCGTTTTTAGGCACTTTTTGGAAAACTTTGCTCAAAAAATAGCATTTTTTCGGCGCCCTCCTCCTCAAAATTAGAATATATTGGGGCCGAAGGCGCCTTTTGAAAAGTTTTAGGGTCCGTCACCAAAGATGGATATCTCAAAATGATACAAAGAAGGGACCCTTTGTGTCGGCCGGGGGTCGAATCCCAGAGGGAAAAAGCGTCCACCGCCCGCCCCCTCCCCCTAAATCCGCCCCTGTGTTACATGACAGCTTTTCAATTTTGTTTTGCTCTAGAGATACACCAAAAGTCATTTAAAGTACTGCTTTTCGCACAGATTTATTACGTTAAAAAATATTTCTAGAGTAAGACAATATAAACTTCGGAAACTAGTGGTTGGAAATTTTGGCCTGTTTTTTGAACAGATTTCCAGATTTCCATGTTCATTAATTAAACTTTGGCAGCCACATTTTCAAAAGCTTAAAACAATTATCAGATAAAATATTCAATTAAAATTTTTAAACTAAGTATTATATAACCCGTGAGTAAGAAAAACACGATCGCGCAAAAATTAAAACTGAAATGCATATTTAATTCAGAAATAGTTGTCAAAAATGATACGTGCGTTAGGGGAAATAGTAAACAAGGTCCAAAAGGGGAAAAAGGTACCAAGGTCCGGTTACGTAGCAGTATTTAGACAACCGCGTGTTCAGACACTGTATTAACCAATCAGAAACGAGACAAGGAAGCTATGAAATTCCATTACGAGGCCAAACTGTGCACTGGATAGGAGCACAATTTTGTGTCTGTATGTTCCTGGATTCCAGAGACAAGTCTTTAAATATCAGAAAATCTTGTCGGGTGGATCAAAGGAAAGTAAAGCACAAAAGAAGAACAAAGGGAGCGTCCTTTTGCGGAATCCGCTTACAATGCACAAAATGCACAGTTTCTTCTTTGTATTGAATCATTTCTTCTTTGTCTCGATTCTGGTTTGTTGATACAGTGTCTGAATACGCGGTTTCTAAATACAGACCGCTCTCCCCAAGGTCCAAATATTGTACAGTAATCAATTGTAGCAAGTTTTTCACAGAGAGCGGGCTTTTGTTTTATTTCGGAGAGTTGTTATGACCGTAACCACCCGCACCAAATTTTCATCGAAAATACTCGATTACAACGGATTACATCGGTAAATTTAATAAAACCATGAAATGGAATTTTAAAAAGACTTTAATCATTTTTTTGAAGTTTCAAAACCCATTATAATCCATTATCATAGGTTATAATCCATTTTTTATTACAGCGTAATTATCATTATTTTTTAATATTAAAAAAAAATGATTTTTTTTGCAAGTAAAATGTTTATTCTACTTTTTAAAGAGCGTTCAGCAAACCTAAAACACGATTCGACATGCTCATCCACGTGTACCCCGACGCCCCCAATTTTCACGCCGCAACACCCTCAACACCCGTGTCCGCATCACACCGCAATTCGCACAATCTCCACTCACACACAACCTCACACCCCCCAGTAGCAAAACATCATTCCAGACCCCCACACGCTTTTCCACACCCACTCCCGCACATCCTGCCACACCCACCCCCGTAAAAAAATTACGAGGGGGGAGGGGCTCGAAAGAGGCTTAACATGGGATGAGGGAAAAGTAGGGAATGAAGGACGGAAACTGGGAAGAAGTCGGAGAAAATCAGTAGAAACTAGAAAAAAATTGAAACACAAAAAATTGTGATTTTGAAGGGAAAAATTTGATAGAAAAATACGCTAAGATAAGTTTCTCTAAGCAACTTTCTACTAAAACGTGCGGTAACTCAAAAGCTCAACTGCGAGTTTTTTTAATACTGCACTGTGTTGAAAATTTCAGTCTAGTTTTAGAAAAAAAGTATAACTGATACATTAAAACCAATTATTAACATATAAAAAGGATATATTGATTTGAATGAAATGGAAAAAGAAATAAAAAACATTTTACTATTTAAAAAACCTAATTGAATGTTCCAGCTGTTGTTTGCTAAAAGATTTCAGCAATTCTAATTTCGATGTTGTTTTTATTCTTTTAAGCAGAAGCAGCAAACTGTTTGAAAAAGTTTTTGATATAGGCTTTGTAGGCGAGGTGCGTCCATAATTGCGTTGCTTTTTCGTCGATAAGACTTCGGAGTCCAATTTGTAGTCCTTATTGTCGCTATGTTTGTCAATGCCCTTATTCTTGTAAATAAATTCTCCTCAACTATCGAGACAACAAGCCGACGGGACTTCAAGCCGAAGGGACTCCAGGCCGAAATTTAAGCTTTATATAAACCTCAAATCACTATTTTTTTTATCTGTGAAACGTTGCTTCTGTGAAAAATTTTAGGCAAGCTTAGACTAGAATAAATTCATGAAAATAAATCACTTGTGACTGGCATCCGTTAATAACTTCAGCCGGTTTTTGAAATGCATAAATTATAAACAAGAAAATTGCCTTCAACTGTTATATTTTTCAAATTTCCAAAACATCATTTGGAGGCTTAAATTTCATGAAAACGCCAATAACTACTAAAGAAACATCATAAAATTGAGTAATTCTTTAAAAACGTATTCAAATTCATCATATTTCATGACTTGATGGGAAAATTTTTGACTTGAACTCCCTAATTTTACGATTCGGCTTGAAGTTTCATCGGCTTGATGTCCGGCACCCACTTTTCATGGACTATTTTTGAGTCGTGTCGGAGTAAAATATGGCAAACACGATAAATTTATTGGCGTTGTTTAGTTTTGATTAGTTTTGGTATTAATTATGAGATAAATAATCTTGCAACAGTTCCGAATAATTTCATGATTTTGATTTTGTTGATTATTGTACCTTGATGCCAGGGTTTCAATGTATAAAACAACAGTGTTTAAGACACTGAATAATTAACTGTTTAAAACAACTTCCCCTGATTGGCAGATTTTCTTGTCTGCTTTAACTAACTGAACTGTATTTGTGAAATAATCTACTCGATGGATTTTGTGAACGAGGTATTGAACGACGCGAATGGCTCGAAAGTGCTGAGAAGCGGCGAAAAGCTTTTTCCTGGATTCATGATTTGCTGCGTTTCTTTTTGGATCCAACTTTTTCGGAGTCGACTGTACTGAAAGTAGAATAAGAAGAACACTCAACTTAAAAAAGTACGGTGCATGCTTAAACTACATATAATTTCAATGTTTTTTTTTGTTTAAAACAAATTTAAATTGTTTTAAACGTTTTAACCTTTTTTTTTAAACCGAAGCTAGTTTTTGTTGCAACCCTGCATGATACATAGTAATAAGTTCTCCTGAATATACACTCTTATTAACAAAATTTTAGAGCCTCTATAAATTTTAGATAGCCCAGTACCAATTAGGAATCATCATTGTCGCGATGCTTGATTTTATAGTTGCCAAACATCGATGTCTGATCTTAAAAAAAAGCCAATAAGTTTTAACTCATCGCCTTTAATACAATGTTTTTTGTTCGTCCATATCATATTGCCGTCGCTTGACATCGGAGATAAGAACTTTCAATGATGTTGTCTTTTTTTCTACCGAAATTATCTTCCTCGTTGCTCAAAACTGACGACACATTAGTTTTAATCATACCTGCGACTCATTATTTCTCAAAATAGGGCAATGTAAAATATTCAATACGAACGAAAATTTTTGAGCCTAAGATGTTTTTGGTTTCTTCAAGTAACCCCAGTAGCTGAAATAGGGGGATATGAACGCCCTCTCTGAGACTCGACCCCATGCCGACCCACAAAACATCCTGTTTGGTACTATTTCAAGACATCCTTTTTATGCTGACATATACTAGATGTTTCCTAAAGGAGCCTTCGGCGCCAATATGTACTAATTTTTGTAAAGGAGGATATTATTTGCAAGAAAACATAGAAGAAAAAGATTCAACGAAATCCGTATCTTTTTGCAATGTTTCCTTGAGTATCATACCCACGCATTTTTTTACCTCTGAAGCATAAAACTGTGCCTCATTCTTTAGTAGATATAACGGTGAAAAGGTATTAAATTAAAGTCTGATGGGAATTGCTAGCTCATTGATGTAGATGGAAAAGCACTTTTGACAGTACTTAGAACTAATTCCATTTCAGGTTACCGCGGTTCTGAAATTCTTGTTGAAATCTACAGCACAACACCACGAGATTTTTTCCCCCAATGTATTGGCTCTTTGAAATATATTGGAAGTTAATCAAAAACATTTGTTGCTTATCATTTTCAATGCTTTTGTCCCTTGGCCTGTTCAGTCATTTCTATATTGGGTTAAAATAAAAAAACACAGAATTTCCAATTGTACGTGACGAGAAAGGCATTTCTTTGAAATGTGGGAGAAAACATGGAAGCTTTGTAGAGTATAGGTTATCAAGTAACTTCCGCGCTAATCTGGCGGTTCTGCCATTTGATTTTTAATTAAATGTCACAAATGACTTTTAAATCCCCTCTTTGCTATATCCATATATTTTTGGACTATCAGTGATTCATTTATAAAAGCTCCTCAATCACTGTCTGCCTCAATTCGATTTTCAGAGCTCAAATGGTAAGTATTGACTGCAAAATAAGGAAAACTGTCTGTCGCAGTTCGATTTTCAGAGCTCAAATGGCAAGTTTGACTGTAAAACATGAAAATTTTTGCCGTTCAATTAAAATCAACGTATCATTTTCAATAATGTTTGACTGTAAGTTTTTGACTACATGTAATTTAGTATTATTTAGAGATAGATAAAAGTTTTTGCAGATAAACTACAATAATAGAAAATATTCAAATTAAATAGAAGTTTTAGACTACCGTGTGATTTTTAGATGACGACAAAAATAGCTGAAATTTTAGATTTTTAGCCAGCAATTTAAAAAAACTGCTTATGACGACAATGAAATTTGACTCTCGAAGTTAACGTCAGAAAAACTTCGAAAAAGCCTAAAAATAGGTCACAGCACCACCCGGGTCGAGGTGTTTGATTTATGTTTCGACTTTTTCGACCGACAATTGGTATGTTTTGATCTTCTCGGCCCAATAAAAGTGCGCGATTTTGTTCGACCGAGTTCCGATATATTTCGACTTTGGCGACCAAAATTCGATATTTTGGCTTTATCGACTGTCTCAACTGACCTTTTAAAAAACATATAAGAGCCGCGCATAGATATGTTTCGACTTTCTTGGCCAAAAATGAATATTTTCGACTTTATCGACAAACAACAGATTTTAGTAAATTTTTTTGATCTATCGTGACTTTTTTGAATTTTAATTCGTTTCCAGCGTGACTAATAATGGGATGGATGTGAAAAGTTTATCTCACTTCTCGATTCAAAATGTGAGCTTAAATTTGAATTCTCAAGAACTGTGGCAGAAAATGAAAGTTAAATAGTCAATTTTTATCTGGTTGAAGTAAAACTACCCGAGTCCAAATAATTGGTCACTTTCTTTGACTGTACTCGACCTATGCTTCGATTAAGCTCTACCTAAATTTTGACTTCCTCGACCAAATTCAGGTATGTTCCGTCTGTGCTCGACCTGCTTCAGCTGTGCTCAACCTATAGTTCGACTGTACTGTAATTGACTTATGTTTTGACTGTTCTCGACCTGCCTTTTGACTGTGCTCGATCTATAATCGACTTTATCGACCAACATTGGGTATGTTCCGTCTGTGTTCAGCCTGATTCGACTGTTCTCGGCTTATGATATGATTCTTAAAATTGCTTCTCGACCGCTGAAATCAGTCGCAAAACTGCACTTGCTCAATTTTACCGTCGATATATAAGTTGAGCACCTCCACCCTGGCAGTGCTCTCGGAATAAAAGTCTTTAAAAATATTATGAAAAATTTTGGCCAGAAATTTTGCAAAAATTACATAATTCTTGCATTTTCTTGCAAAATACTTGCAAGATTTGCATTCATTTTACCCGTTTTGTTTGCATTCCATATGCAAGAAATAAGCAAGATGTTGCATTCTACTACAAAATATTTTAAGCTTAGTTTTGCAGCTTTTGGTACATTCTGTGTTTTTTGAAAGTTCTGTTAGTCTCTAGCAGACAAAATGAAAATTGCACAGCAGAGACTGCTGAGTTTTTATCCTCCACGGCGAAGTAAACATACAAAAATTGCCAAAATACGTGCAAGACCAAGGTTCTCAAAGATATTTACATTCTTTCCCAAAAATGTTTCGAAAAGTTGTAGCATAAGTGATCAGATGATTTTTTCTAATAAAACAGAATATTTGGCAAAAACGTGAAAAATTGCAAGTTTAGATGTTTTCTCGAAATACATAAAATATAAAACATAAGTAAATATTTTTTGTGGCTATGGAAAACTAAATTTGGCAGAAACCCTGGAAATTACTTGCAAGATTTACATTCCAATTAAAGATTGCCTTTCTCGCAATTTTATTGCACGATTTTACCAGAAATGCCTTCAGAATTATGAATGCAAATCTTGAAATATTCTTGCCAGATTTTTGCAAGATTAGCATTCCTATGCAAAATGTTTGCAAGATTAGCATTCCAAATACACTAGGGATACATCTACCCGAGTTAGTCGAAAATTGGGATATTCATCATGAGTCTGGGTTGGATTTTAGAGAAAAAAGCTGCAAGTTTTACTGTTGGTAAAACTTGTTAGGACTCAGTAGTTTAGGGGATGAAGTGTGAATTTTTTGTAAAATGACAAAATGAAAGATTTTGTGGGGGACATATCAAGTTCAAAGGTTTTTACGAAAAAACTATCACTTTTTTCAACATTTAGAAGAAGTTGTTAGTTTTTGCTCCCTGTGAGCTTCTGTGATCTTTCTTTATTGATGAACCACGCTAGATATTATGTGTAACATGAAAAGACTGCTCGTAAATGAGGGCAAAAACTGAACATTCGGACTACCCTTAGTCAATATTGAAGAGTTGTTGGTAAAAAATAGCAAAAGCCATAAGCAATGGACAGTATTTTTTAACAATTTGAACAACTTGAGTCCAGAAAAAATGCGACCAATTAATTTATTTTGTTTTAAATTGGAAAAGTTTTGAAGTGCGGGATAGTTCCTCCGTATTAAATAAACCGTGTATCGATTTCAGCATCACAAATAAAATTTTCAGAGCCCACATAAGTTAGTACAGAGCATGGCGAAACTAGCAGCTTTTAATACCAGACTTCTACAAAAGTTAATTTTAGTTAAATCTCAAGAAGTCATTATTTTCAACGGGATATAGTAAGAACTATTTTTTTGATCGCCAAAAATTAACTAGAAAAACAAACCAGACGAAACATTAGATTTTTCCCAAATTGTTTAATATCGAATGCAGTTTTTTTGTTGCATTTTAATATCTGGCAAGTCAGCGTTTGTCATCGAAGCAGCAAATAGATGAAAAAATACTTATCTCATCCAAAATATATTTTTTTCTTTCTATAGGTAAACACACACTTAATGCTTATTTAAAAAAATAGCTATAAACTACTGTAATGGAATTATTTTGTTTTCCATGAAAAATACTCACAATTAACACCTTTTTCTTTTGTTGATCCAATTTTCGAAGCTGAAAGCCGAATTGTTGTTCCGATCATTGAAAATGGGAAGGAACTTTGCATTCAGATAGGTTTCAAATTTTTTATCTTTTTTTGGTTTTCCACACAGGATTTAGTGATAAATCATATTAAAGCCCTATCACTCGTGATTCGAACCAAAATAAAAAAGTTCCAAAAACTTTCCCAGTGTCGTGATAAATCCCAGAGTGAGTGATAAATCATAATAAAGCATTTTCAGTCGTGATTCGAACGACATCAACGTTTTCCCGTTGTCGAGAAAAACCGGTTCGAAATTTTTGGTTTTTCGTCTAATTTCGAGCAATTGAGCAGGCTTACATTAGCTTGTTTATGCTTAATTTAAGCTTTGAAAATTTAGTTTTACTCAAATGAAGTTAGTTTTTGGAGTTTTAGCTCCATCTTAGGAATCCAAAACTTCAAAAAATTGAAAAAAAAATTTGAAAAAGAATATTTAAAAAATTTTCAATTTAAAAAAAATTTTTTTTTGTTCTTTTTATTATATGTCTTCAAAAATTGTTTTCCAATTTGCATATTTTACATGACTGACAAAAATGCGTCAGCTTTTCTTGTTTGCTCAGATTTCTTTATCATATCAAGCCGAAAAAATTAGTCTAATTGGGAAAACAGTTTCGTTGTAAATTTGTAAGACTGGTCGGAACATTCTCTGCTACTTGCACAGTAACCGGTTATCCTTGTTAAGGTATGGGGTTCTTTTTCCCAATCAATTTGCAACTTAAAAATTAAGCATTTTGTGAAGTTTAGCAAAACTAAAATGTTTATTCGTCCTATACCTGCCTTTGGGTGTAACTTATTATCTGAAGTAAAGCATAACCTGAAGGCGTTGATGATTTTCGGATCATTAGGTTTCGGTTAATAAAGCTAGTCATCGCACTATCAAAATCAAATACTGTGTTCCCGGAATGACCAAAACGTGCAACCACACGTCGCACCCTTCATTGTTCCATAGAAAACATGAAAAGTTGTCGACAAAATTTTTTGTTAAAAAAAAACACATTTCCCATGCATAGCGCGATGAATGGTTGCACATTTTTTTAAATAATGGGGGACGTCAAGTTACACATTTTGGATAGTTTTATCAGAGCTATTGAGAAAAGATATGACACCATGGGTGCTTGCATTGTATGGTTTACATGGTATCATGCGTGGCGCGACATATTAATACCATGGAAACGACGCATGGTTACCATAGCAACATTCATGGCGCGACGGGTGGTTAACAAGAAACCAAATATGGTAGTTATCATGGGCCTCCAATAACTGTTCTGAGCGACCTCGAAGATGTTGGTAAAAAAAATTTTTTTGCCGTCACTCAGTGCAAAAAATTTGATCCCAAGCAAAGCAAACTATTATCCGATGTAGAAAGTTTGCCGCCTGAAACATATCTGGTGACAGTTGAAAAACTTTCATGAAACTGCATAAAAAACATTACAAAATGCGAAAAATTAGTAATTTAAGAAACAACTTTATAATCAGTATATAAAACACAGAGGCAAAGCAGAGCTTTTCATCACATGTGAGACAGCGAAAGCGTAACACTGCAAATGTTTTTGAAACAACTCTATGTGCTACACATGATTAATTATTTTCCATGCAAATCATGCATGGATGTGTATGGTTGCGCATTATCTTTTATGGTGGGCAACCCGTGTTAAGCGGCAGAGCGCAAATGAACCACTGAGGAGAAATTTTTTTTCTAGAGAAACATGATACACTGAATCAGTGTTTTTTTAATGATTAAAAAACAAACGGTACCGGATTCACGAAAACATTTTCGGCAGAATGCGGGCTAAAATTGGCAGAGGGCACAAAAAATTGTTTCTCAACTGTTGATCCATTTGATAGGGGTGAAAACTGTAAAAGCTAAAAAATGAACGGTATTTAACAGTTTTGAATTGAATGAAACCATATAATCTACAAAAATTGATCAAAAATTGTAATAAAAAACATTGCCAAAAATTTTTCATGATGGTTTGGCATACATGAAAGCTGTACTT